CTTCCACCACGAAAGCGGATGGACGCGTCAATAAATGGCTGCTTTTACAAGGTATAAACGGGCGCAGCCAAAGACTAACTTTCCCCGCCATGTGCTACTGGTCTCCGTTTCAAATACTGACTAAGCTAGTTGTGCTACCCACTTCGGGCGCTTCTTACCTGCGTGTACTCGGCCAGCTCGAAGTAGGCCCGGCCGATGTGCGTCAGGACCCAGCCCGTGTTGTAGTGCTGCGGCGGGAGCGAGGTGAGGATGGCGATGGCTTCCCGACAGTTGTACGAGCACAGCGCCTGGTAGCCGCGCCCGAGCTCCCGAAGCAACGCCAACACGCCGTCTGGACACGTGGCAGGTTAACGGACTCGCTGATGGCGGCGGCGAATTTCCAAGCGGATGTTACCTGCGGCGGCTCTCTGGTGCTGCGGCACCTTGGCGTCGGCCAGAGTCAGACCCGGATCGAGGCGGAGGATGTCCAGGCTCTCGTTCAGGTTGCTGCTGTTTGACGTCTTGGTGGATTTACATTTGGTTTTTCTGTTGGGAATCTTGGTGGGGAACTTCATCTTTAACTTCTTGCTGTTCTCCTGCGTGAGCAAAGTCACATTCGACGTCAGCTGCTGGACCTCGCATACATTCGCATTCAACAATACCTGAACATGATATTGTTTTAAGCTGCGTGTATTGCGCAAAAAGGATAAAAAAACGTTGCACTTGTCCCTTTGAGTTGTCATCTGTTGCTCTACTTAAATATGAACATCACAGCTCAGAAATTCGCCCCACCCCCCCAAAAAGGGCCCGAAAACGGCAAACCCCCTTTCTGTTTTGGCGCAATGCATCATGGGATAGACATGCATTGCTGCTCAGTACTTTTCAAGACGCAATGTGGGATACAGTGAGGAACCCCTCACGCTCACGACACACAACGGGGCAGCCCATCAGGATTGCCACTTCAAACAGAGTCCGAGTCGCCGGGCCGAGGGAGGGTGTGACCCAGCGGCAAGGCTGGCTCAAGGTATCCCAAACTGTGCGCTACCTTGGCAGTGGAGCTGGCACTAGTGAAGAGTCGGGAGCTTCTACGGGGCTGAACGTTGGGAGGAGCCGACATGCTGGGACTGAGCACCTGAGGGGAACCACTGTGACGAGAGAAAAAAAAAAAAAAGCGTTACACCTGGCAGCAGACGGCACAGGGGCGACAGAATGGCGGCTACCTGGTGTGAGGAGCCGATGTCTGCGAAGGGTTAAAGGGAATGGGGAGGACATCGCGACTATTCCCGCTCTGACTAAACACCGACTTGGATTGACTGATCCTGGATACCGTCTGACAGACCACAAGGAAGGGAGATCAATTCATCATATTTCGGAAGCGGAGACATCCAGTGGACAGCATCAATTCAAGGTTGCTACCTTCTTGCTGGAAGCTGTGGTTTGAGTTTCCATGCTGGACGAATAGTTCTGCAGATATGCCGGGTCGCCGGGGCTGGGCTCCAGCGGCAAGATGCCAAAGCTAGCCGAAAGAAACACACACCGCATGAGGGGACGGCGAAAGAACACGCATGCATGTACACGCCCGCGCGCACACTGGCACTCACCTCGGCGTGAGCGGGCTGAGCGAATTGGGTCCTCCCAGTAAACTCCGCCCACTCTTGGGCTTGTTCTGTTTGGCCAACAAGGAGCCGGCTGACGCGAGGGAGACGGGATTTCCCAACAGGGAGCCGGTCTCCGGCGAGATGAGGGACGAGTCGATGTAGGAAAGCGACAAATCAGAGGTCTGCTTTCCATTCGAAGATTCTAAATTCAAACGATTTAACTCCTAAAAAAAAAAAAAAAAAGCAGACGAAAGAACAACTTGCGTTTGAAACAAAGAGAAAAACAAAGGGAATTTTGATTATTGTGTATTAGTTTTGTGCACATAAAATGTTTCAGTTACGTCTTAAAAAAAAAAAAAACACTCCTTAATATGGATGGGCGAGTATTGATACAAGGTATCGGTATCGGGCCAATACTATTCTTATTTCAGTACTCGTGACAGTGACTGATACCAATGTTCGGACATTGTACACGATCTTATGTCACGATGTGAAGGAAAATGGAGAAGTACCAGTGTGTGCTGCGGCGTCTCCATGAAGGCGGAGTCCAGGCGATGCGAGGGGTTCTGTGCTGGGCTTACAGAAGGGGGCGGCGGGGCTACTGAGCAATGCTGCAAAGAGGACAATCTGAAGACTTGATCTGCATCCGCTTTGTCTCCTGAAACAGTCCAAACCCGAAGCGGGGGACAGGCACAATGAGACAGGAGTGGAACGACAACCGTGCAAGGAGACCCCTGCCGTTGTGTGGGGTGGGAAGGCGTTACCTAGGAGACAAAGGTTCTGGAAAGGAGACCACAGGAACGGGTTGAGTGACAAACTTCTCTGGAAGCATTCGGCACCTTTAGCGGCACGATCTGTCTTGCTGCTCGGGACCACAGACAGACGAGGTGAGACAGGTGGCCAAGGAGGCGCTAGGTCACACGTCACCTCACCAGTAAATGTGTCCCAGCAGCGACAGCGTGAAGGACGCCGAATCACCGAACTCCGTCACCAGATCATCTTGACTCTTCTGTTTATTGAGCACACCGCCGATCAGTACCTGCTCACCTTCCGCCAACCTGACGCACAATAAAGTCGCCGTCACACCAGACGCCCTCTGGCACTTTGACTCGACGCCCTTTGGTTTACTCGCTTTGCGTGACTTACTTGCTGAGCTCCACGCAGCACTTGGCCAACAGGAAGCGCACCTGCGGCGTGGACGAACTGTGAGCCTTCAGTAGCCGGTAAGCCTTGTAAGGCTTCCCAGACCGATAGTAACATGTCGCCAAAAGGTACAGCGCCTCCTCCGACCTCACTGACGCATACACATGACATGGGCTCAGTGTCTCTCACACTCACACAACTGAACTTGTCACAAACACATGCCACACGTCCAGGTTACCTTCAGCGTAGAGTCTCTCCGCAAGGAAAACGGCATCCAGGTAGGCATAGTGGTTGAGTGCTTGCCACACTGCAGCCTGGACGCACAGCACACACGTTTACTTTCCACTAGTTTATATTCATTCGAGCAGAATCAAACAAGCACGTGACAGTGTGATGTCATCACGTGTGATGATAACACCACGGTTGTCCACACAACATTGCAAAGATGATAAGTTGCCACTTATCTAAACCAACAAGTCTCCGTCAACAACGTCTACGGGAGGCAGCAAATTCTCGGATCATGTCGAGGGTCAAGAGCGTGAAAATGGGCTAATGTTCACCATCCATGTCGTCATGATTGTTTCCCGAGCGGTCTCACGCACTTGGTGAACTACCGCGGTGATGGTGACAGTAGATGAAGTAAACGTGAAACTCTGAAAATTGTAATGAAGCGCTCCCTCTTTTTTTGGACACGGAAGATAAGCAGCTGCTGGCTCCAATGCTAACGAGGACCGTGATGCTCGCCGGTATTGAGGCCACACTAAAATTCTTACGCTCGCTCTCCCAAATCGCCCATCATGCGACAAACTCAACAACTGTCATCAACACTTGCAAATGATCTGAGTATGCGAGGGTTCTCAAATGCTATTCGACGGGTTAGCTGCGACAACAGTTAGCAGAGCAACCGCGTTAGCACCTCTCCTCGGTGTCAAATCAAACATTTGAGAGCAGAAAATCCACGAACCGATCTTTCATTTTTGCTGTCCTCGTTCTGGGGTCATCTGTTCGCTTGCAACGTGAACGTAAACTCGACTGACTTCTCCTTCATTTCTCCCTTTCCACGGGCTCCCTGGTCAACGCGGTTCTATCAGCCGTGAAACATTTGGAAATCTCGCACGGCTAACATTGGCAATCGATCTTCGTGACACTTGCTCCAGATGGAAAGACGCAAAAGACCAATTGAAAGCTAAGCAAGCGGCCACTCGCAGTCGTTGTGGCGACGGGAGGCCTGTGGCCGTGCGGCCCGAGAACGCGCACCCTCGGGCGGACTGAAGCGACAGCTGAGGCCGCCGGGACGCGGAAGACCAGCGGCAGGCCTAGGGCGAGCGTCCCCCGTCCAGTCGGAACAGGGAAACCAAAAGTGGTATTTGTTCTTACCTGGACGGGCTCCTGCAGCACCGTCATTCCGTCGCAGTCTTTCTAGCCGTTTCTTTCTTCTTCACCTCAGGCTGCGGCGAGATTTGAACATTCCGACCGTTAGCGGCCGAACTCAGCCGAAGAATGCCGAGCAGACCGGAAGTGAGAGGGAAAGCAAAAGGAAGTCATTGGCGCCCTCTATGGGCCACAGAGGAACGACCGTCGACTGTCTGGACCAGCGAGCGAAAACATGGAATATCGACACAATTTAGACTAGATCAGGGATGGGCAACTTAAATTATCCTGTGGGGCACCATCCACGATATATATATGAAAAGCAACTTTTTAAAACATAAAAATGCGTTTGTTTGTCCGAAATGTTTGTCGGGTGAAAGTTCAAAAGTTGTCAGGATCTGTTTTTTTTTTGTGTCCGTGTTCATGTTTGCTCGTGTGGTTTTCGTCTCCACCTGTTCTCATCAGCCCTGTTCCTTGTGTTTACTAATCAGTGTCATCCAGCCACTTGTGTATTGTCAAGGTGTGCCTCATTGTCATGTTAATTTTTTCATATTTAGGTCGGTCTGTGTCTGGGACTATTGCTTGCCTGTACTTCACCACATCCAAACAGCACAAATCTTTGATAGAAACTAAGATATAGAAAGACAAATTTGCGATATATTGAGGGAACACTGCACACTGCGCACCAAACTCCCGGTTGTGCTGTAAAACGGTTCTGGCATAAAAAACATTATTGCATGACCCCCATCTCTCATTTCGAGTGAGCCACAAATGGTTCTGCCCCACTTTCGTGCCGCTGGAACTCTCGTGCTTTGTGACAAACAGTTATGTGATGTGGTCTTCACACTGTGCTTCACCGTTATCATATATTCTCCTTTTCAGGTGTTCCGAAATTCACAACTGACTGCATGAGCGCAAACACTTTTATTTCATGATAGGATTTGACTTCCGTGTCAAATAAGACAAGATGAGCCAACAAGAGGCGAGCTGAACGAGGGCGGTTCTACAGAGTACAGTTGGCCTCTGGTGAGAGTCGACATTTGGCGACCGTCAGGTAAGTCTCCACCTGCGGAGACAGTTATACATTGAATGTCATCATTACAAAGACACACTCAAACGCACACATCGGTGGCACAGCGCGGACCTTGTGCATGTCCTTCTTGAAGCACGCCAGCAGTTCATACGTTCGTTTCAAGGACTCGTCATCCGCCACGCTTTGGTAATAGTTGCCATACGGCGCCAGTTGGAGGGGGGAGCTGTCGGAGAACATCTCAGCTCCATCTTGATTGGCCTGAGCGAGTAGCTGATTCCTCATTCAAGAGTTCCCACACTTAGATCATATTTACATATATATGTGTGTGTGTGTGTGCTTTCACCCTGATCAGCAGGAGGATTCCCATTTTCAGCTCAGACAGTTTTGAAGGAACCTGATTTCTTGGAGAAGAGCCGCCAGAGAGGGAATGGCTGGGAAATTCCCACGACTCCACCAGTCGATAGGAGATGGACAACAGCTTCAGAACCTAAACCCCGTTAAAATATGTCATCATCACTCGTTCAGCTTGATCATTTTCACAGTTCACTTCATCTTTTCTGTTAGGCTTTGTTCATAAAAATAATTCACTCATTTATTTCCAGGGACATATTTTGATGTGTTTGAAAAATCCAGAGATTCAATCCAAGGTGTATATTGTTATGTCTATTGTGCTTTTTCATATGGGAGGGTGAAGGAAGCTCTGAAAACGGCTGCCATTAAATACATCCCTCTGTTTAAGAAGTATAGTGATTGTAAAGTTTGAAGAGGCATGTCCCTCTTCGACAGGTTTTGTGCTCACATTTTGAGAAACGGTCCCTCAAAAGTTTGGAAACGCCTTCATATTCAAATGAGGTGAAGAAATTTTAGTGATTAACTCTTCATCATGAATTAATAATTACAGGTCGTAAAGCATCATCCACATCATAAAGCTGACTGAGAAATTGCAAGAAGTGCAAAGATGTTATCTGGGGCCAAAAGATGCCTACTTTGAAGAATCTCAGTTACAAAACATTCAATTAATTCCGTCAATGTTTCTTCACAAATTCAATGGCTTGATTATTAATCTATAATTCAGGACATTTTTATATCATGTAAAGACACTGAATCAGAGGATGTTTCCAAACTTTTGACCGGTACCGTAAATGGTGTCAAACATCCACCCATCCATTTCTAGCACTATTTGGGACATTTAAAAACCAGATGTGTCGAGACAAATTTGGATGTCTGGTCACCCCAGTCAATTGAGTTGAAGAATAACTTGTAAATTGTTGAGTTAATTGAAAGAGGCTTGTGCAAAGTGTTCGAGATTTAGTTGAGGTTTGGCGAAATGACCGAGCTTCGTTGCGTTTCGTGCTTATCAAGGGGGCTGATGATGTAATCCGAGTTGCAGAAATCCTGCAGGAAGATTTTGTTGAGCTGACGCTGATCTTCCATTTGGAGGGAGCCCTCCTAAGACAAACCGACAAATCTCCATTATTAAAACAACGACAGACAAAAAAAGAGGCTGTGTGCAGCGGCTATAGCTTACAGGCGATACTCACAAAGTCTAAAAAGAGTGCCTGGGCTAGCAGGTGGAGGTGTTGCACTCGACTGACTGCGATGGAGAAGACTCGCTGGTTGTCTGCGATTGGCTGAGAGGAGACGCCGGCCAGCGTCACGAGCGACAGGAAGAGAACAACTGCACGAGACGTCAAGTCACTTCATTTGACATTGACTTGATACACTGTGTGTGTGTGTGTTCGTGTGTGTGTGTGTGTGTGTGTGTGTGTGTATGTTTTCTACTTGGCAGGGCCTCATGTCAAGAAAGAGAGTCGATAATTCATCTCAGCCTTGGCTATCACAACTGTGTTAACGTTCCTAGATATCGTTTTATTCAGTTTACCTCAATGGCAGACCCAGAGTGAGTCATCGGGAGATTTTGGTGAATCCCTGCTGGGCCACTGCAATACGTTGTGTGGGCTTCTGACTTCAGTCCGAGGATCCGTTTTTAAAAATCAACAAATAGGATGCGTCTATTGACAGTTAGATTTGGGCCAAATGTAACTGTCAATAGACGCATCCTATTTGTGATAGCCAAATGATTTGGCTAGCACTTTTTTTATATATAAATGGCATTGACTGCGTACATTTGTTAGTGAAAGTGTCACCAAGTCACAATAATTTACTTCATTACCAAAAGCAGCAATAATTTCATTGACGACTAGCAACACTGTGACTATATCACATATTGGCTGTGCAAAATAACACGTTTAAGAGCCGTACAAGTCTTACTGTTGATGTCTTAAAAGTTAGTGTCAGTCCGCTAAATCGTGCGCCGGACGTGCTTTGAATGGGTTTCAAAATAAGAGCAAAACAGGAAGTGCTCTCTGAGCTGACTTCATCTTGGTGTCATCTGTAAAATGTCTTATCCCATGATGCCTATTGGTTGGTCCCTTTTTGCCCTTTTTCCCAATTTAGCGATTTGCGTCTTCGTACTTTATCCGATAAACCCTGATCGTGGTCTTGCAAGCACATTCAAGTGTAAATGTAACTTTTCATCAAAGTCAATATGAATATCATTGGAGGGAATTGCAAGCTATTTTACAATGCTACACTAATAAGGGTCAAATTGTTAAGCTTTATAAAAACGTTGTGAAATAAAAAGTGCTGGTTTGAGCCCTGAAATTCCAGTGCTGAAAAAAAAAGTCCGCTCACTGACTTTCTATCATGCGAACAGGGGGGATTCTCCTTTTGTCAGATTAAAATAATAATAACAATGCATCAGATTTATATTATTCTGATTTAAGGGGGCCCATGTGCCATGTAGCGTAAGTCTGGAAAGTTGAACTCAAGCACGGTACATGCATACGCCTGTCAATACTGTACATAAACTACAGTATTTAGAAGATTTTGAGATATGATATTTTAATGTGTATAAAGAAGCCAGTCTACTGTTCCACATAATCATATTTCAAAAGGGTTTAAATGTAAACCTGAAAAGTAAAAATGATTAGTCAATATTGCAATCAGAGTAATACTTTGAACATTAGAGGCCATCATACCTTTGTCCATGGTTGCTCCTCAGTTTGCCTTTTGGCGATGTCGTGGCTTGTCCCCTTTATATCAGCACGATTATGATTACATGTATGAGCAAGAAACATCAAGTGATTGCGTTAACGATGCCTTCATATTTAGGACTGCGACTATTTTTATGTGACAACTTTGAATTCTAAAAACTTCACTCTTGACTATTTTGGAAGGAGAACATAAAGTCATTCTAAGAAATAAAATAGTCTTTTAGAGTTACATCACACATCAATGTGAATAATTCAGTGTTTTGGGACATTGACACATCAACACGTATGAATGTTAACCAGTGGCACTAGCGAAAAACAACCAACAGCACGTCAGCAATGCGCTCGGCTACACTTTGACGTGTTTGTCTGATAAGTGCAATGCGGCAGCTTTCAAGCTCGCTTCCATTGGCCATATTAGCCTTGAGCAGGTAGAGAGACGATCCATCACCAACACCAATCATCATCCATTCATCCGTCATAATTAGCGGCAGTCATGGAAAGCAGAGATACCTGGCAGACGATGACAAATATTTGTTCATATTAGGTTCAGCTGCTTGTGTCTTAGAAAAACCAAGAAGGGCCTACGTCATGATCTCTTCTTCTTCTTCTTCTTCTCCTCTCGGCACGTCCCTTTTCAGGGGTCGCCACAGCGAGTCATTAATTCCCATCCGTCCCTGCAAACCGCCCTATCAACTCGCATGTCCGTCTTGGCAAAAGTTTTACGCCGGATGCCCTTCCTGACGCAACCCTCCCCATTTCCCCGGGCTTGGGACCGGCACCGGGGAACAGTGTACCCCCAGGGGAGGGCACTGCTCCCCAGCGGCTGGGTTTACGTCATGATCTCTCTTATTTAAAAAAAAAAAAAAAAATCAAAGCTACTGACTCAGTAGACAAGACTGCAACTGGCTGTTGCAAGCCTGACACTATCCATCACCCATCCAATGTCATCATCCATTCACCATCCCAGAGCCGCCCCTGACAAAATTGGGGCCCTAAGCCCAAAATGTATGTTGGAGGCCCTCCCCATCCCATACATCTCATAGGTACAAAATGACCGTCCCACAAATTGCCATTTTGATTTTACAGTAAAGCAGTAACAAAATAAAATGAACTCCACCCGACTAACACAAAAACAACTCCAACGTGAAAAAAAAAAACCACCACATAAAGTGAACATGCATGTGTGACTTTTACAGTGAAACAAGTCTCCGTTTTCCGGATGCACCTTCACCAATGAGGTCATTGTATGACAATTGCTGTGGCAATGTCATAATTCCTGCTTTAACTCACCAAGCCTCTCAAGCACTATTGTGCCATTGATGAGCAGAAGTCTTCATGAACGCCACTTTTTAAAAGACCAAAACAGGGAGAGTCGCTGCAATGCAGGGGGCAATAGAAAATAGACATTTACGTAAATATAAAAAGAACTCCTGTTATTAATACACAACTATGTCTTGGACGAAGCAAATGCAGACCTATCACTACTACTACTACTACTAGTAATTTAACAATACAGTAAATTTGTAGGCTCTCAGTTTATAGTGTAGTGATGCGATGATGACGATTCTGTTCGCTCTCCGCCAAAAAAAAAAAAAAGTCTACACAGCAAGCAGGAAACTACTCTCTTTCAACCCTTTCAGCCCTTTGACCGAAGATTTCCGAATGGAAAATAAGGTACCACATTACAGAGATAGGAAAGTGCTAAGCCGTGTAATAGTTGATTTTTTATTTATTTTTTTGCTGTGTCAATTTAGGTAGGCTGAGCTGCAGAATGTCATCACGTGGAGCTCCGTTTCTTTCCATTCCAGCTAACTGTTTGTACTTGTGGGCTCATCGTTGTGACCTTCAAGTTGTGTCCATATTCACTGCGGTCCGACAGCCGATACGGGGCCTTGCATTTAACCATCAGTGCCCCCATTTCGTCTCCGTGGTGACGAGAGCCTGTGATGAACAAGACCGTGATGTGGCCATGAGGTGACCTTGATTTTCCACGGAGACCCGCAAAGAAGGCCCATTTCCAAGAGTGCAAGATTTGAAAAAGTCACCAAACGCATCATAGCAAAGCACAAAGTCACATTTATTCATCTTTCCATAATGGATGAAAAAAAGTTAGGCAACAAAAGTCAGAAACAAAAACACTGACTTCCATAAACATATTAATCCCTCCGAACGAAATCCAAACATGCGTCAACAAGAACTTGGACATTCTCCTCACATTTTTGTTGTGCAGTAATCAATCCATCCATCCATTTTCTGATCCGCTAATCCTCACAAGGGTCGCGGGGCGTGCTGGAGCCTATCCCAGCCATCTTTGGGCAGTAGGCGGGGGGACACCCTGAACTGGTTGCCATCCAATCGCAGGGCACACAGAGACGAACAACCATCCACGCTCACACTCACACTTGGGGACAATTTAGAAGTGTTCCATTAACCTGCCGTGCATGTTTTTGGAATGTGGGAGGAAAAACCGGGTTACCCGGAGAAAACTCACACAGGCACTGGGAGAACATGCAAACTCCACCCAGGAAGGCACAAACCGGAATCGAACCCTGCACCTGTGGACTGTGAGGCCGACGCACTAACCAGTGCACCCTTGTGAAATAATAATACAAAAAAATCGATATATTGTATGTATACTGTATAGTTCTACATGGATGCTTATTTGAACTTCAGCGGCCACGATAACAATGCTGTCTAAGAGCAAAGACTAAGATGGATTTTAGTGTGTTCTCCTCTTCTCTTTTCGGGTTAATAAAGCAGGATGCAAGATTACAACGATTAGTTAGCTTGATACCATTGGATGAAATTCTTCAAGATAGCATTTTTCATCAAGAAAGACTGTAACCAGATGATGAAACGCGTCAGGTTGTCAGCGTACGCTAGCGGGCTGCACCTGAACCTACTGCTCTTCATCTCCATCCTGCGGGATGCCGCCGGGACGAGCGGCCTCCCCCACTTTGACTGGTGACTGCCCGGCGTGTTTCCTGTATGCTCTCTGGATGACAGTTGCCGCCACATCTTCCCGCTTTCTTTTCAGAGTGCTGCTGATCGGTTCATAGGAGTCCTGCGGGGGACAACTTGTCAGAAATAACGCCGCGGCCCGAAATGCGGAAAAAATAACCATGTCATCGTTTCGGACGGTAGAAGAAAGGAGAACAGACCATGACTTTTGAGGGGCTGCGGGCCTTGAGCCTTTTCTCCATCCTAGCTTTTAGCTTGTCCATCTCACCCGAAATTCCCTGCACCTGGACACACATGGAACATTGAGCAAGACAACGTTAACCCTTTCAGGGACAGCGATTACTACAATGGGCAGCTTATCATGTTATCAGGTTACGGGATGCATGAATGGGTTTTGAAAAAAAAAATGGAAATTACATGACCTGAGCAGTGAGGGCCACAAGGAGGTCTAGGCAATGGATCTTGTCCCCAGAAGCCAGAGGCAAATCCATGCTGATCACTTTGATTGTGTTTGGTTTGGCAATCCTCAGCGGTTCTTTCAGATCATCGCAGAAATCTGACAGCTGGCTAAAAGTTCAACAGCAAGCGTAGTCGGTTGCACATGAACATCTTTTATTTTTAAAGCTCGCTATACAACCAGGACCTCCCAGAAGACTGTATTTTCTCAATTGGATGGTTCCAAAAAGATTGAGAAGCCCTTCAACGGAGGTCTGATGTGTCCGAAATGATTCCTACTCTAATACAGTTCTAGACACGCCCATGCAGAAACTCGGCAGAACCAAAATTTTTTGACTTTGTTTCAGTTTTGATGATGATGGCAAAAAACCCCAGTATTGCACAAAATAAAAATCGTGCGGGTGCAGCTCACCTGGAGTGAATAAAACGTGATCCTTTTGGGTCAAACTTCTCCCAGGTTTCACAAAACATCTCAAAGTCGGCTTCGCGGAGCTCATCGGCGCTGCCCTCTGCGGCCATATTGAAGTTTTCCAAAATGACGACGATGTACATGATGACCGCCACCAGGACAGACAAGATAACGTAGGACGTGAAGAAGACGATGCCCACCGCCGGGCTACTGCAGTCTCCCCTGACAGGCGATCCGGCGTTTTCTTTGTACGGATTGCAGTCCGGTGGCTTTTGCATGGTGTTATGGAGCAAACCGTCCCACCCGGCGGTCGTCGTGATGGCAAACAAAGAGATAATGCTGCTCCCGAATGTCTCGAAGTTAAACACGTCGTCTATCATACCTCCTTTCTTCACATACGCAAAGTACTTCATGCCAAAGACGGAGAACGTGAACATGATGACAAAGTGGAAGAGCCCGATGTTAAAAAGGGCAGGAAGTGACCTCATCAAAACCCTGAGCAGTTTTCGCGCTCCCTTAGCTACGCGGAAGAGATGAATGATTCGGCAGACGCGGGTCAGTCGGATCACACTGAAGACTGCGGGTGAGTAGAGGAAGTACTTTTCGAGCAGGTCTGACAGGAACAATCCTGAAAGATGAAACGTTAATCAAAGTTAATCAAACGATTCAATCAACGGCAAATGTAGACTCATCTATGTCAATCGACGTCTATGGATTGGGCCACACATACTATCTGCTACCACTACTAGCGATCGCTTGAAATATCATCCACTCGTGAGCTCTTTTCCCCAAGTGAAAAATGAATAACGGGATGTTAAAAAAAAAACTCTAAAATGTATCGGGAGCCAGTGAAGGGATGCCAGAGTCGGAGTTATGTGCTCCCTCTTACGAGTACCAGTCAAGAGGCGAGCAGCAGCATTATGGACCAACTGGAGACATTTCATGGAGGATTGTCTGACTCCAAAGTAAAGTGCATTGCAGTAATCCAGCCGGGATGTGACAAAGGCATGAATTACTGTTTCAAAAGTGCTCATGAGAAAGAAGACCCGATTGCTTTGCTCCTTCATTTTGACCCCTTATAATAAACGACTCAAAACCGCTCTACAGCCTTAACGATGTGGTAATATTAGTCTCGCCACAATGTACATCGTCTGTTGACTCACCCAAAATGAAGAGGATGACCAGCACAAAGTCAAAGATGTTCCATCCAAACGCAAAGTAATGTCGTCCGAGGGCGGTGACCTTCAGCACGAACTCGGCGGTGAAGAGGAGGATGATGGCAAAGTGAATCCAATGTAAAATAAAATCCTTTTCAGGGCTCTGGTCCCACGTTTCCACCATCATGACGACCACTTGGACGCAAGCGAACACCATGAAGAAGATATCGAAGGCGTCTTTGGTCACGAGGTCAAAGAGCAACCCCCGAATCTTATTCTGACGACGGACACAATGACAAAACGGCAGAAAAATTGCAACCCACTGAAACGATGACTCACAATGTGTCTTTTGAAGCCGAGTAGGAGTTGGACTCACTTGTGGTCGGGGAATGGTCACTCGGGGTTTCTTACAGCTTAAAGTCTTCAGGGAATTGTATAATTTCATCTGTTCTTCTGTCATGAAAAGACCTATGGCTCCCAAGTAAACAAACACAACAAAGCCCCTTCAAATGAATGCGAGGACACAAGTAGAACATTGCGTGCACGCGTGAGTAAACCTATCTTGGCTTTGTGCTGCTTGAGGTGCTCGAAGATGGCGCCGATGAGGAAGTTGAAAGTGAAGAAGGAGCCGAAGATGATGAAAATGATAAAATAGATGATCATGTACGCGTTTGCCTCGTACTCTGGCTGCGAATCAACCTGCATGCAGTCGCACGGGTCACGTACACGCACGCACAAACACATACAGGACAAGGTATGTTAGCCATCGTTCTTTAAATTGGTCTTGAAATTCTATTTGCAGTAACCGTGACCGCGTACGGAGTTACTAACCCATTTGGAGTCCATTGCGGAATACATTATGTCCATCCAGCCTTTGAAAGTCGCCTGAGAGAAAGAGTCAGTCAATCAAGCAAACAATGAGGTCAACCTTTCATGTCAAATCATCAAACTGTTGAGTCAGTGAGATTATGGAGAAAAATTGATGGAATTATTCGTGAAACCCAAAAAAGATTGATATAGTTTGAATTTCTTCCCTTTTGAATGTGAGACCATTTGAATTCAGAAGTGTTTCCAAACTTTTGACCGCATACCAGATGTTGCCTACTGACCCGTTGGATACACATTGAATAATCGTGGGCCGTATACCGTTCCGCCGCATTATATTTACAATACGGATTGCATCCAGCGTATGTATGCAACCGGACTTTATAGATCTGCTCGACTTTTTTTAACTGACCACTTGCAGGAGTGACAGGTAAGCGATCCCAACGTTGTCAAAATTGATGGGGGAATTCTTCCATCTGACTTCGGTGAAGTTTTCTTCGATCAGATAGATACAGTCCGTCTTGTTGTTGATGTCTTGGGTGTGAAATACGTCTTGGTAAGTGGCGTTGATGCAATAAAAAAACTTTCCTGCAAACATATTCACTCCTACGATGCCGAATATCAACCACAAAGTCAGACAAGCCAGCAGCACGTCCAAGATGAACGGGAAGGCTGCGAACAGTGTTGTCACCACCACCTGAGGACCAGCGAAAACGACTCGTGAACACATGAGTCCGTGTGGACGGGTGGCGCTCTGCTGTCTTGCTCACCTTTGCGCCATCAAAGCGAGACAAGAGCCTCAGAGGTCTCACTGTCCTCAGTGACTTGATGGCCTCCAGCTGAGGAATTCCCAAAATGGTAGCAGTCGAGGAAAGCAGAGATATCTGGCACATAACAACAAAGTTTGGGTTGCGTTACGCTTGTCTCGCTCTGTCTTACAAACCAGTGGCACCTCTACTTACGAAATTAATATTCAGATTCAGATTCAGATTCAGAAAACTTTATTTATCCCCGTGGGGCGATTAGAATATAGAATAATATGTTCTGGAAAAAAATTCTTCACTAGAAAAGTTTGTAAGTAGAGACGCGTTTTCCATGCAAATGCCCTAATCTGCTCCAAAGCCCCGCAAAATTCAGACATAAATCTTTTCTAAAGCATAAAAATGCATGAAAATATGTAAGCAATACATGTTACATTCACATTATTGCACAATAAATGAGAGTTGTGCGTAATGCAAACAACAAAGAATTGCATAAAGAATAAAAATGATGGTAATTTTAAAATTTTAACTGCGTCCTCATCGGTTTTTTCCCGCTTCATGAATGACGAGGACGCTGCTTGACACAGGTTTGTCTATTTATCTATCTCCACACATACACATCCGGTAGAGGTACCTCTCAGCATATCGGATGCCAGAAAGATGCTCGGTAATAGCCAATGGCAGAGCAGCAAATAAGTATGTTGCGTTCAGGAAACTCGGAGCTGTTAGTAGCAGCCCATAATGTATTTTTTTACCTTTCATAAGTTGAAATTTCTTTCGTAACAAGAGGCAATATTGTCAGGTTGAGGCGTTTCGTAACTTGAAAATTTTCCATGAAGAGACGTTCGTAAGTAGAGCTACCACTGTATTTGGTCGCGTTCGTATCACGCCGCTAGCTTGGCGCGTTACTCTTGCATGTATCTGGAATGTACGCGTTTATGAGACTGTGTGTGTCTTACAAGCACGACGAGGAAGTCCAGCCGGCACCAGGGGTTGCTAAAGTACTTTTTCAATCCGCCGGCGAACCACCTCAGAAGCATCTCCAGCACGAACACAAACGTGAACACCTGATCGGCGTACACCAAAATGGTCTTTAGCAGCCATCGCTTCTCCAGGTGGATATCTTCAACGGCCTGCGCTCCAGGATACATTTGCAACCATCAACATTTGAATATACCGATGCGTCAATGACGTCACAAAAAGGGACGAATACTTACCAGAGCTACGCTGCTCAGTAGGATCACAAAGGTAATGAATGCCTCAAAATATTTGTGTTCAACCACGGCGACACACGCACGCCTCAAATTTAACCAGGTTCGCAGTCCAGACGGACATGAGTCCATGTTCAAGATGGGACAGCACCGGTAACACTCTGAAACACACACACACACACACACACACACACACACACACACACACACACACACACACACACACACACACACACACACGCGCGCGCATGCGGCATGCAAAACCTTCGATCGGCTCTTCGTTTTCAGTGGTAACTTGAGTGTGTGCGTGTGCATTCATACGGTCACAGAAGCACTTGGCAGGCGTGTCTTGGTCATCACGTTTGTGCGTGCCCACTAACGAGTCGCCGTTCTAGCAAACAAGATATTTCATTTGAGCGCCCTTCGGTGTGTTGCTTTTACATCAAAGATGATGACGAGCTTACTTGCAAGTCCTTTTCTTCATCATTGTCTTGATTTCCGGATGTTTGAGAAGCACTTTTGGAGGTTTGATGAGAGCCAAGGTCCTTGACCTCTGATTCTGACTCTTCTGAACTTACAAAAGTAAGTGCCAAGAACTCCTTCTGGTCCACCTTGTCACTTTTAAGTCCTAAAACTGAGAATGGCATTCGATTGCGTGATGAACTACGGTGGTGGGAACAAATTCAATTTGGCTCCTACCAGGAGGATATAGATTGATTCCTGATTGGGGCTTCAATTCCGTCTTCTTGTCCGTATGACCCAGGACTTGGGACTTTATGCCGATGAAAGCCCCTCTTATCCGGTTTAAGGCGATCCGCAGATTGTTTTGTCCTTCTACCGCTGAAGCTGTGCGACGAGCTCCATGGGGAGATTTTATCAACAAGGCCAGGAACAGACTCAAAACCTGCATGGAGATGGGGAACACGTAAAAAAATAAAATAAAATCCAAGAGTCTGGAACAGGTCTCAGATGATCAGGAAAGTTGTTCCGTCCGCGATGACTCACCGCCAGCTTTCCGATGACCACCACAAATAGATAGAAGATAAGACATCCGGGCTGACCCGCCACCTCCATGCAATCCCACATTGTCTCAATCCACTCTCCGCAAAGAATTCGGAAGGTGACGAGGAAGGAGTGGAAGAAATCCACCATGTGCCAGCGAGGAAGCAAGCAGTCTTTTGAGATGCGGCAGACATTTTCTTTGTAGTCCTGTCCAAAGAGCTGCATTCCGATCACCGAAAATGTGAAGGTGATGATGGCCAGGAGCAGGGTGAAGTTCCTCACAACACCCAAGGAACTTCCGATGAGCTTTAGCAAAGCGTTGAAGGTTGGCCACCACCTGGCCAACCTAAACACTCTCATCACGCAGAACTAGAGAGCAGACCAAGCCAGACATTTCATTGTATCCGGAAGGCAATTGGGAAGATGGTGTGAGTCAAGCGATGAAACTCACCAGTCTCAAAATGCTCAGCCCGGAAATGTCCGCCAATCCCAACTCGAGCACGGTAACGGCAGCAATGATGGTGTCAAAAACGTTCCACCCAACCTGGAATCATGAGAACGACTGGAAGTCATATTTGCCATTTGTTGTCACGGGTAAGTCAATCAAGTTGCCGAAAACAGAAATAGTAACCTGGAAGAAGAGGTAGGGACCCATGGCCAGAAATTTTAGGACCACCTCAACTGCAAAAATCGCCGTGAACACCTGAGACAGTGACGAGGTGAGAGATCAAGAGGAGAACATAAACAACCCGAGCGAGTGTTATTCCCTCCATCCGTATACAGGACCAAGGACAACTACTCCAACTCCACACTGACCAGCCCAGCAATGGAGAGCAGCTCCTCAAACTCTTGCATCATTGGAAAATGCTCCATGGCCATGAAAATGACGTTGAGCACGATGCACAGGACAATGAAGAGATCGAAGAAGGGATCGGTGACAAAACGGCGGAGTCGCTGCTGAGCCCGGCAACGGTTGCAACAGGTCCACTTGAGGAAGATGTCGGCGAAAGTGCGGCAGCACGGTGAGCGTGGCCGTTGCTCATCCTCACACGCTGAAAAATAAATAAAGAAAACAAACAAAAATTGACTTTTGAATAGTCTTGATCTAATCACGATCAACGCAGATGAGTTGCGCAGTGCACGACATCCACTGCTGGAGCTTTTCTTCCTGTTTTAAGTTTTGGGTGGTTTTGATCTTGTCACATATTTGTGTGTGTGCGTGTGTGTGTGTGTGTGTGTGTGTGTGTGTGTGTGTGTGTGTGTATTAACACCTGCTGCTGATGAATCCTGCTTCTCAGTGAGGCAAGAATTCCCATCCACCTACAAACACACACACACGCACACACACACGCACACAGACTCCGCTCAGCCGAATTGGATCCAAAACACGACATCGTTAAGCTCCACATCACCTAACCTTCTCTTGATCCTTCAGCGCCTCCAAAACAAGAGCATATTCTTTGCTCTTCCGCTTGGCCTCGGCCGTCTCCGCCTGCTTCTGCTCCACAAACGCCCTGGCGACCACCGCCACAATGAGACTGCAGAGGCAAAAAGAGCCCAGCACAATGTCGACCAAGAAGGTGATGGCATAGGCTTGACCGGCTGAGCGCAACGTCTGCAAAGACAAACCGGTGAAAGAGTCATGTACGGAGCTGGCGACGGTTACCGTACGTGATCTACAAACATCTCGTCACTGACCAATTGCAAAAGGTTCTCCCAGAAGTCCTGAGTCATCATTCTGAAGAGAGCCAGGAAAGCCCAACCAAAGGAATCGTAGTTCGTGAAGCCGTAATTTGGGTTGGGCCCCGCTCTCAAACACATATACCCCTCTGGACACATCCTAAACAAGCAAATGTCGACACGTCTTCACCACTGCTCAGCCCAGGTTGGACAGTGAGTGTGTGTTACCCGTACACATACCCAGCACCAGACCTGTTTCCACACAGCAGAGCATCATTATGTCCGGGCAGAAAATAATAGTTTCCTGGCAGGCACACATATATGTGACAATTTCAAATCGATATCACGCATGTGACAGAAAAAAAAAAAACAACCCAAAAACAATCATCAGTTTCACACCAGGGTTGTTGATGTACTGTGTATAATCAGAGACTTCGGATGAGTAGTTGCTCGGTAGCATCATGACACACTTTTGCTGCAAGTGGCCCATAAAGTTATGGAGTGCGAGCGCGGCCAGGACACTGAGGCACACGAGGCTCAGGACGATGACGTGGGCCATCTTCTTGACAGTTTGCCCCAGTGCTCCCAGTGCTTTCTTCACATCTGATAAGATTAAAAAAAAAAATAAATAAATAAAATGGCGAGTCTCGTGATCGTTCACGCACGTTCACACACATGCGCACACACCAGGTATGGCTGAGATGAGCTTTAGAGCCGGAAGGACTTGGAAAGCAGAAACAATTCCCGCCTGTACCATTTCTGTCAGATATCTGAAAACAGAGCATCTTCTTCTTTAGGCCATCATCATCATCATCATCATCATCATCGTGGGATGCGTGAATGTGTGATTGTGCGTTACGCCGTGCTGATGATTATCAAGTCCAGCCAGTTCCACGGATCACTGAGGAAGGTGAACTGACCGACGCAGAAACCTCGGGCCGCAACTTTGACGAGCACCTCAAAGACGTAGATGGCGATAAAAGTGGACCTGTTCAACGACACGCGGGCTTTTAAAAAATTTATTTGTGCATGCAAATACTTCGTTTTTTTTGTTGACTTTCTTCCCTCCAAATTTTGCTTTTCCAAATAATAATCTCTCTCTCTCTCACACACACACACACAAAAAACACACACAGAGCGCTGTCAATATTTCCCGTGTAACTCACTTGGCAAACTTGCTCCACTCCGGTGGCTCGGCCATCGTCATGAAAACACAATTGGTCAAAACTGTTAGCAGGATGAAAGCATGGAAAAAGGTGGAATTTTGTGAAGGAACAAACAAGCACGCGGTGAACAGACAGATGGACAGCTCGACGGATAGAGCGATACATGGATGCGGTATCTTTCGGTCCTTTGTTCGTCTGCTTTATTTGATCTCAACAACGGGCGGCACGGTGGGCGAATGGTTAGCATGTCGGGCTCACAGTACAGGGGTGGAGGGTTCGATTCTGGCTCTCGCCTGACTTTGCCTGAAGATAGCGGGGCTGGGCTCCGTTTATTCTCGCGAGGATAAATGTGTTAGAAAATGGATGGATCTCAACAACATTAAGACATTTTTGTGTCGTGCTTTTTCAATATGATTTGAATGAATCTCTCAACGGATTATTATTATTATTATTTTAATAAGACGATTGGTGCGGGTTTTTGCAAACATCGTGGAAGGTGACATGCCTGATTTGTTTTTTTTTTTGTGGGCAATACAAAATGATGTGGCGGGCAAGAGCGGGCCCCCGGGCCTTGAGTTTGACACCTGCGTCGTAAAGGATATGAGTGAAGGAGGATCTTAATAGCAGTGGTCCTCATGAGGTTGGAAGCACTCAGCAGATAGCAAGCAGGATCGGCATTAAATCTGTGGATGACCTTTTGTCCATCCAGAACAATAAACCTCTGGAGAGACAACAGAAAGTCAGAGAGTGGATCAGGACCAAAAAAAAAAAAATCTGCAGAGGCGCGGAATTTGTTCAACGGGATCCAGTTGCGAGACCTTCTTTGATTGGTAGAAGGGATCCAGATCCTCCAGTGGGGTGTTGACAAATTCAGGGGCTGGGTCACCAAAGATGAATGGGAGGGGCTTCCCGCTCTCCAAGTCGGCTGTTGGATTCTGCTGCTCCTCTATCACCTGCCAATCACAGAAATAACCAATCAGATGACAAATTCCCAGCCACGCGTTCCCCTTCAAGTAGCGCCGAATTTGTCTCTCGAAGGCAAACCGCGAACTCTACCAGGACGCTGTCATCTTTTCCTTTCTGTCGTTCCTTTTCTTTGACTTCACGACGTCGTTGGATCTCCTTCAGCGAGCCAGCGGTAAACTTCCGAAAGACTTCTGTCCCAACAGGAGGCAGCAGAGATACCATCTTGCTATTCTGCAGCTGTTCCCGCAGATCACGGTTACCTAGCAACATCTTCCTGTGTGTGGAAATGAAATCTCCTTCAGTGCATGCAAAAAGAGGGCCGCAAAACAATTCAAACATGTTGTATTATGTATATATAAGGTGGCACGGTGGTCGACTGGTTAGCACTTCCGCCCCATAGTATGGAAGCCCGGGGTCCAATTCCAGGCACTGCCCTTTCCTGTGTGGAGTTTGCATGTTCTCCCCGTCCCCGCGTGGGTTTTCTCCAAATCTCCTTCAGAGCATGCAAAAAGAGGGCCGCAAAACAATTCAAACAATGTGTTGTATTATGTATATATAAGGTGGCACGGTGGTCGACTGGTTAGCACTTCCGCCCCATAGTGCGGAAGCCCGGGGTCCAATTCCAGGTGCTGCCCTTTCCTGTGTGGAGTTTGCATGTTCCCCGCGTCCGTTTTCTCCGGGTACTTCGATTTTCTCACACATTCCAAAAACCTGCACGGCAAGTTGATTGAACACTCTAAATTGTCCCTAGGTGTGAGTATGAGTGCTGATAGTTGTTTGTCTATGTGTGCCCTGTGTTCGGCTGGCAACCAGTTCAGAGTGTACCCCGCCTACTGCTCGAAGACAGCTGGGTCCAGCATGGCCGCCACCCTCGTGGGGACCAACCCACTCAGCACAGGACAAACATACAAAGCCCACACAGGAAGGATAGATTTGAGTTTTGTCGTTCAAAACTGCTGAGCAGTCATGCTAACCCATTCGGCCATTGAGTTGCCTGGACAAAAATATTAAATGACAAAAAAAAAAAAAAAAAAAAAAAGTTTTACAGTTTGCTAACAAGTGCAATGCGTTGCCAACAGTACTTTCTTGGTTAGTTTCCTCCCCTCAAGTGCGTCTCATTGAACATGTGCGAAAATGTATACAGTACAATCATCAAAATGCTGAAAGGTAGTTGTTGACTGCGTCGGACTCACAGTTCTGTAGTTAAAGGCTTCAGCTGACCAGCTTGTCTCACAATCTCCACTTGCTCCGTTTTAGTCCCCCAAAAGTCCCAAAATGTTGTTTTACTTCTCATGGCTGCCACTCACACTGTCGCAGCGCTCACACTCCACGGACTGTCTCTGTTGATGCTCTTGCTTGTGTGTGTGTGCTTCTCCACTCTACTGTTCATTCCCTTTCTGTCCGATTGAGGTGACCTCTGACTGTCTTCTTTGCCAAGAATTCTGTTACCCTGGTGATATCGCAAGTCCTCGATGCGAACGTTTCAATCGCCCCTACGCACAGTGGGTCCCTTTCACGGGCCTCCTGATAGACTCCCCGTTTTCATGAACAGACTTCCTGTTGATGACCCAATTTCCCCGAAATATGGAGTGCTTTGTTCCAAAACATCTGGCAGAAAGAAGAGCCTTCGCAGCTTCATCAATTCAACCTCTTGTGCATAACTGGGTGTACTGCCAAGCATTCTTGCAAAACAGGCTGGTCCCTCGGCTGCTTGAGGCAAAAGATCGAATTACAAAAAGATGCGCATCTGCATGTGAAACCATCGAACAGCGTTGTGAAAAAGTATTTCATCGCTGCACACATTTTTATCTTCATTCATATATACCTTCCTCACGTAAATGTTTACGAGTGTCAGAGAAAGATAACCCAAGCAAACAAACTCCAGTTTTGAAATGGGGAGGAAAAAAAACGAATCGCTTGAAGGGATTGAAAATAGGGTTGGGGCTTTAAACTGGATTTAGGGTTTCACAGTATGGTTTTAAACTTGGGTTAGGGGTTCAAAGTAGGGTTTTAAAGTAGGTTTACAAAACAGGGTTTTGAATCAGGGTTAGGGTTTTATATATATATTGTTAGGTTGTGACCAAATCAAATAATGTGAAAGAATTCCAAAGATGCACGCTCAGACAAAGGGTGATCACAAAAATATTTACCAAAGAAAATCGCATTGACCAAAGTATGAACTGAAGTCGCTGGTCACAAAGCGTCAGGAAAAACAAGGCGTGAAACCAAAATCGCTTTGCAAATGAACCCCTTGTGCAATACTACAATAACAAAAACACTTATAAACAAGAGCCTATGAAAAAACAAGAGTGAGTGAATATATCGAGAGGTCGAGAAACTCACACGGCACCTGCTGGAGGGAATCGCCTTTCGCTCCAGCTGCAGCTGGAACACAATCAAGACACACATGACATATACAGTGTTACGGTTAGCTTGTCAAAGTAGGGTTGAAACTTGGGTTAGGGTTTAAATGTAGGGTTTTACATTTGGGTTAAGGTTCCAACATAAGGGATTTCAAATAGGGTCAGGCTTTCAAAGTCGGGTTTTAAACTGCGGTTAGGGTTTCACAGTATAGTTTTAAACTAGGGTTAGCCTAGTCATTCAGGGTCAAATACGTGCAGAAAATTTGACAAAAATGCTTAAAAAAAAATACATCATAAAAAAAGAACCCACCTTATTTTTGTTGATTTATTTTGTTTCGTTTTCATGCGTTGGGTTGTGATTGTCTTTGTTGAATGGGAATGTCTTGTTTCATTTGCACTGAAAAAAAATACATGCAAACACGCATCTTTTCTCCCAAATATTTATTTTGCACAAATGCTCTGTATTCGATTACTCTTGATACAAACACAGATAAACGCACCGAGTACAATTACTTTTGCATGGGGCGTTGGTGACATCTAGTGGCGACAATTGCGCACAGTCAAAACAAAGTCACCAAGAATTAAATAGAAAACATAAGTCAAACACAAAGCGATCGATTTTTTTTTCTTCATACACACACACAATATAAATCAATGATAATCGCTGAGGGTTGTCTTTCGAGACATCAGACCATAAGGCCGTGGTCGACTTTGGAGTGGAAATGCTAACATTTGCCCCGAATAGCGGCGTTTGTGTTGTTGAGGACTGTTCATATGAAAAGCTTTTAGTGGCTTCGGCTGAATGTATCGACGCTTGCAGTAGCGGAGGAGGAGAACATCTGCGTTTCCAGAACATTCCGCGGAAGTCAGCCAGCAGCCAGGAAACAAAATAGTTTTGAATGAACGCCGGCAAATTGAATTCCCTCCCCCGCCAAGTTGCCTGATGGGAGAACGGATGCGTATCGACGGGCAGGAACGTCGCAATCGCCGGTCGATAATATGAACCGGGGAGAGTAAAAAGACAAGACGCGGACAAGCGGGATCGGCCGATATTGCTCCAAATGGACCCAAGGCGAACGGCGATTTCCCTGTGGCTAATTTGTCTTTGTCCGTCATCGCACTTGACATTGTCCCTTGATCAATAAGCACGCAGCAAAGTAGTCAACATGACTAATGTGCTCATTTAGGACCTTTAGCAGTTATTGATTATGAATGGGCCCTCGTCCTTGAACTGCACTTGCACATGTTTATATGCAAAGAGCGAACGCTCTTTGTGATCGTGACGCCTACACGACGGAGTAAACCGGAGGTCACCGTGGTGTCTCACGGGTCTTCATCAGGAGGCACCGATTAAAAAAAAATAAAAATAAAAAAATAATAATAATTCAAAAGCTGAAAAAGCAAAAAGAACCAAGTGAAAATTACAATGACTTAAAAAAAAAAAAGATTGTCGATAATTTAAAAGTTAAATGTTTAAATGTTTAAAACATGCTGTGGTGCAAGTTGCACCGCAACCCTTGCTCAAGAAACCTGGCCTTGATCAAGATGTACTGGCAAATTTTTGGACCATTTCCAAGCTGCCCTTCATTTAAAAAAAATCGGAAAAATGTGATGTCTTTCAGGGAAATGTATAGTGGAAGAGCACCCATTTAAAAATGTGTATACGTGTGTGTACAAATGTCAAAATACTTGAATTGACAAAAAAGGTACATGGCAAAATATTTAACATAAAATGTACAATATGAAGACAAAAATTGAACCACAAACTAAAAATGAAATATAATTAATAAAGAATAAGAATTGGTGTATTATAAAACACAATAAATGACATGGGGAAAAATACTTTCATAAAAATAAAAAGCACACCAAATTGCATTTAAAACAAGATACACAAAAGAAAACAATAACATAGACAAAAAAACGTATGGTGTAGGTCACCATTAGCTGACACAGTGCACGTCCTGATGGGAAGGCACTTAAAAAAGCAGTGGCCTTTGGAGCATGGATGCCAAGAAAACAATCAAAGCAAATACAATTACAGATATCCTTGAAGCTTTCTGCTGAATGCCATGCAGAGTACCAAGAGAAAGATGCCTACATATTCAAGCAAACGGAGGCAAAACACGGCAGAGAAGACACGCGGGCTAAATGAGCTCATGACTGGGGCGGGGAGGCCCGCAAATGTGTGCTGCCAAACAGCCAGTCACAATTGCACGGGCACAAAACATCACATTGTGCATCACTGATATGCAAGCCAAAACATAACAATATGCAAAAATTCATCGCGTTCAACAGAGAGAGAGAGAGAGAGAGAGAGAGAGAGAGAGAGAGAGATTTCCATTCACAGTACTGCATAGGCTTTAATATTGCTGCATCGCGGTTTTTCATATACAGTAGTCACAACATACTTGCTTTTGTTTCAGTGCTGCCTTTCATGGTTAGAGATGATTCGGGTGAAGGTTTGGAATGAGTGACTGCAAATAATATTGTTTTTCTGAGTGTAAATGAGAGACTGTTGGCATTTGGGTGTGATTGAAGAAGAGGAGGTGTCAAGGTGCCACGAGCAAGGGGGGATCCCTGCCGGACCCCTGGACTGGAGATCACAATCGGCTCTTAAAAGGGCCCCCACAGCAGGATGACCGCTTCTAACAACAAAAGACGGCCAAATGTGGAAGACAATATCCACCACATCAAAGGAAGATTCACAATAGAAGGACAATTCACACCTCATCTGACAGATGCCGTTGACAACACCCGGACTGTCCTCGCAGCAGTGGCGGTTCTGGGGGGGGGCCAACGGGGGCCAGTGCCCCTGTAGCACTGACTCTGGCCCCCCCTGTGGCCCCCCCTCCGAACGTAGATTACGCAGTGGCGCAGAGTTGCAGACACGAAAGGTGGAACCAAAGTGCGTGGCTTAACATTCTAGTCGGACCCTTTAGTGTGCTGCACCACTTCAAATTGAGCGGGAAAATGAGAAGCAGTCCGCAGAGCAGATTACCACGACACGAGTGCTATTTTGACACGACACGATTTATATTTTCAATGTAAAATCACAAAACGAAACAAGCCCCCAACAGTAGCATTTTTAAGTCTAATTCCTCTTCACTTAAACATTTAACGTTAAAAATGAAAAGAAAAACTGACATTACATCATATTTCTATATGAAAAAGAAACACATTTATCCAGACACAGAGAGAGAGTCAGATGATGATAGTGGTGAGAGATTTGAAGAGGAGCAAGTTGAAAGCACCAGAGAGGGAGAGTCAGAGGACACGGGATTCATTTATTTTCAGAGCGAGGACTCAGAGCAGGAAAGGGATACAAATGAAGATCCTGAGAATTAGGAAGATGAGACTGCAATAGAAGTGGAGTGTGAGACACAGACAGAGGATATTTGC